GCTGCTGCTGGCAGCACAAACAAGAGTTTCATTTTTCCAGTGAGGAAGCAACAAGCACAGAAGGTATGAGGGAAAACATTCCACAAGGGAATCCTGAGCACTGAGTCAGGCTGAGCAGAAAGCAGTAACACTGCAGGGAAACAGGGCAGTGAGGGCAGTGGAGCTGCCCTCGGTTTGCAGGTACTGAAGTGCAGCAGTTTCCATGGAGGTCTACTTCTATGGAAGTTTAGTAAAGCACAGGAACTTAGGCAGCTACACACAATTCCTTACTATCCAAAGGACAGCTGGTCTGTAGCCATAGCACATAATGTTAAGGTCTTTTATACTGCAAAAGTAGTATAAAAGAATTTGAAATTGTAGCATAATGGATTGCACTGTCAAATCTGAAAGCATGTTGGACTTGGACTGTATTAGTATCATAAATTAAAAACATCTATATATAAGTAATATTAATAAAATGCAATTTTCCAATGCCACAGAACTACTGATATGTATGCTTTGGCTTCATGTATAAACTGACATGGCAAATTCTAAATTTAACCAAGCTAATTTCTTTTAAAGCTTCATCACACTAATTACATCCATCAAGTCTGTAAAATACATTTTGTCAGCTAAGAAGAAAAGACTTAAATTAAATGTAAATCCTTACTCAGCACTTTAAGCTGTTAATGGCTCTAAGTCGTTAATGAGATGATGAAAAGAAAATCCTCCTGCAGACCCTGTAGTGAGAATTTATTACAAGTCCTCATTACTTCCACCCAGTGCATATTCTGAAAGTGTCCCACATTTATGCCAACACCCCAGTACCAACAGAGAAAGATACCAAAATAATCCTGTTTGCTTGTAAATGTGCTTGTATACATAAGTGGGGCTTGACAGGCACCTCCAAGAGCGATGGGTGCTCTCCTTCCCTAAGCCAGAGGCTCCAGGGGTACCCCTATCCTGAAGTACGGGATATTGTCAGAATGGTACTTCACCTTAACTTGCTGGCATTTTAAGTCATCAAACAGGACAAACACTAATGGCTGATTGCACAGCATGCCTGGGCTTATGTATTTTTGTAATGAATTTTTATAGATCCCCTAATAAAATTAGCTCAGAAGAGCACTGGAAAGAGATTTACAGAACCAAGGATGTACTACAGCAGGATAGGGGAGACCATGAGAGTTAAAGGAATATATCCCTGGTATCCAAGACTTGCAAATTTAATTTCAATTAAGTAACATCAGGATTTATGAATTTTGATATTTTTCACAGACTACAGTATTTCCTATCTCTGCCTATAACCTTAGGGAGGCTTATTAAGGGAAAATCCCAGTTGCAGAAAACCCCTAGATCAGGCTTAGTTCTTACTGAAAGGAAAAATATCATTATTTGATTTCTTCCTTAGATTTCTCTCTCCCAGTCTAGTCCCTTTCTTTCCTTCAGTCTGAGCTCCTCTCCTCTCTTGATTAGATATTTCACAGAAAGAAAAAGAAAATCCAAGAGCTACATTTAAATGTACCAGGTGCCCTTGAATTTCTACCGCATTGTGCCCCTGTAAAGCCTTGTTTACAACTTCAGCTCCAGCAGCAAGTGAGCTTCCAGGAACAAAGAAATGTTAGAGACATTTTCACAATTGCTTCCCCCCACAGAGAACACTCATTGATCAAGTAAATAAAGTGAGGTACACAGAAGTGATTCATGCTCAAACATGGAAAAAAAAAAACCAAAACAATAAAATAAAGCAGTCTGGAATATTTGTACCCTCTGCAGGAACTCTATCCCATCAACTTCTAGTGAAAATTAACATAATGTTCAAAAATTATTATGCATGAGAAAACAAAATCGAATTCAAATGATGGCCCTGCTGTAACAGGATGCTGATTAGCTACAGAGAATTAAATTTTTGGTATTAATGCTTTATTGGGTCACTATATGGATATGACAATCGAGACATTGCCTAAGATTAATTCTACACTACCTTAATTATTAATCAATCCCTCCCAAATGGATTTTTTTAAGTGTACTTGAAAAGGCCTGTGCAAATAGAAGTGCTCTGTGTATGGATGGGGCAGTTTTGCAGGCAGGCAGGCAGGGATGCTGCAGTGTACAGCCAGCATTCCTGGGGCTGCTGGGTTCATTAAAATGCATGCTTATAACAGGCTCTTAGAGCTGCAGCTGGATAACCCATGATCCCTTTCCTCAGCACCACGGAACACTTCGTGTCTATTTAATAGGGTTGTTTCAGGATTTAATTAGAGATTTACATGCTGGAACAAGGAATCTTCCCCTTTTTAAAAGGTTTCAAAAAAAACACTTTTTTGTAGAGATTTTTTCTGAATATCTGTAGCCTATGCCCCTTACCTGCACCTTCTTTCAATTTAATACCTATTTTATACAATTTAATGCTTCCTCTTCCACTTCTCTGCATCCCCAACACAAACAAGACACAGAGACTGTCACATGTGGTTTCCAGCATAAATCTGTATGTCCAATTTTGCTGAATGAATGAACAGCTTTGAAGGGAAAGAGTAAGCAGTGAAGTGCAGGAGCTGATGAAAACCTGTGCCAGGCAGTAGATGGAGCAGGAATGAAATCCTGTGGAAGCCCACCTGCAATGTAGCATTTGCTAACACACTGCAGTGGTGCTGCATGCTAATGCCAGTGAGAGCAAGAGGGGGTTTGCAAATCTGTGCAGATGTGTGGGCATTAAACTGTTTGGAAAACAGCCTGGAAGAAAGGGATGCCTCAAAGTCAACCAGTCAAAATTACTTGAAAACACAGCCCCTCTCTATTTCTATTACACATCATAAAATCGCTGTGATAATTACAAAGCTCATTTAGCCAATAATGGCAAAACATATGGACAGACACCTGAAACTTAATCACCTTTAGTTCAGTTTCAGCTCTGACTGTATCTGAGTCAGTTCCTTCCCGCGTTGGAGCAGTTGGTCATTCTCCCAGATAATATCTGGCAGTAATCTGAAATTATCCTCTGTTTCAAGGTCAGGTTGGATGTGGCTGTGAGCAACTTCATTCAGTAGAAGGTGTCCCTGCCCATGGCAGGAGGATAGAAAGAAATGGTCTTCAAGGCCTTTCTAACCCAACCCATTCTATGATTCTCTGATTCATGCCCCTAACTCAAAAGCTCTAGTCACATACCTTCACTGGGTTGCCTGTGTATCTCTTCCAAGCAGTACTGGAAGTCTCCAGCAAGCTGGCAGCTCCTGCATCCTGCTGAAAAAGGTTACACCTTAGGTCTCATCTGCTTTACATTTACCTTTCCAATGAGCCTCCTCCCAAAATACTGAAAAGAAGCTGCTGTCTAAAGCCGTATTTTTCTTTCCAATGGGCAAATTCATTAGAGCTCCTCTTGCAAAAGTGGACTGGCAGAATCCTACTGAAAGGGATTTGAGGGCAGCCTGATAACATCAGCAAACACCTTTACACTCTCTGTATGCCCCTGAAGCAACACAGGCCACTGAAGAATCATGGCACATGCCCTTTCTGCTAGTTTCATTCTGTTTAAGAGTGTGTAATGGACAAAGCTTGTCCCAGGGTCTCCAAGAGCAGCTTTCCCAGGATAACTGGCAGTGCAGGTGTGTTATTTTTTAGCAAGTGTTGTTTTGCTTGACAGTACTGACTGCAAGAGCAACAATATATAACTGCCTTATGCCTTCCTATTCTCTTAGTGTTCCACCCATCAAAGCTTGCAGAGCCTGTGGGAAAGAAGCCAGTGACCATTAACCTTCACTTTATTTTACATTTTTATAATTTCAGGAGTTTAGTTTCAGGCTTGCAGCCTTCAGGGCTGCACAGTTTAGACTGGAGTAAAATACAGCAAAGCAGCAAATGTTTAGCATAAGTTAAAAGAGCTTTTCCTGAGTCCCCATGTCATTTCTCCTTGCTCTAATGCAAAATTTATTTCAAAGGATTTAATAATTTTTTTTCTTGAGTTTAAATAAATGCACAAGAGATGCTTTCTCTTTTTTGTAACAAAGAAATACCTCCTGGATTGATAGTGGCCAGTTCAGGAAGTTCCCAACAAGTCACTCTGAGTAGGCAACACCTGACTATCTTTCAAACACTGGATTTCTTGTCAATGGATAAGGTGAATCAAGGCTGGAGGGATGGCTAGGACAGTACATTCATATCTTTGTTTCTATCACCCATATGAACCCAGCAGAAAACCTTATTGCTATTAAAAAGCAGGAAATCCCTCTTGTACCTTCGTGCTCCCCTTTTCTTTGACTCAAACTGGTCCACTGAAACTCAAGACAAAAGCTAAAAGTCAAGACAAAAACACCTACCAAAGGGCAAATGTGCCACAAAATCCCAAGAGAAAGCTCAGTGAGAACTCACTGGCCCAAGGACTTTGAGGGTATGGTTACCATAGTCATGAGGGTGTTTCAGAAAGTTTACCCTTCATACATCATTCATACAGCAGAGCATTCCCAAAGGTGAGCTGAATTCCACAGACTCCCATATGCTGCAGTTTGTAAATAACTGCCATGAAAGTAGGACAGTAGTGTCACGCTGACAAGAGACTTTAGCATTTAGGAACTTCCTCACTAAATAAGCTTGACTTGTGGTGACTGCAACAAATCCACTCCCCCAGCATCAGCTTTGCAGCACAGCCTTCCCTTGCCAGCACAGAGCAGCACCAGGGGACACGGGGGGGACACAGGAGGGGACACAGGGGGGGACACAGCTGCTCCTGCTCAGGAGCTGCACAGGAACACTGACATGCACTACAGCAACAGCTGCACTTCACCTGCACTCTCACAGACATGCATTACACTAAGCAGACATGCAGCATCATTCCTGCTAAAACTGGGGTCCCTTATTCAACTTACAGATTCATTTTGTTCAAGATTTACAAAACTTCAAGACAGTACAAGGTGCAAGGTAAGGCAGCAGTGCAGGGAAGGATGGTTTCATCATAAACAGCCCTTTTTGCATTCTGTTTATCAAAGGCCTGACTGATTAAATAAGAGCCATTCATTCCTATTACACAGCAAAACTGCACCAGAGAGCCACAGCCAGTCTGCAGTGGAAGGAAGGTGGCACCACTGATTCTTTACATCTCCTACACATCAGCCTTGGGGAGTTCAGGCCACCTTGACCTGTAGGTGAAAAACAGGTAATAATACACTTTGTGTCTTGTCCCAGATTCTCCTCAGGGAAAAGAGCCTTGAGTCAACACAGAGTGTGACAAGGGTTGGTTTTTCTGAGTGTTGCAGACTGCTGGCTGCCAGTAAATTCTGTAAGCCTTGTACTCCAGTGCCATTCCTGCTCCTGGTGGGAAGGCCTGGCACAGGATGCAGGCAGTGCTGCTCAGGCAGGGCACTGCCCACCACTTCCCTCCAAACCAAAGGAGGCCAAAACCCACCAAATTATTTTCACTTTTCCAAGTCCAGTCAGTCCCCCAGTGAGACAAAAATCTGTTGTGAACTTTGCTAACCTTCAATTTGTTTATGTTCTCAGGACTTAGTACACAGGGACATAAAGATTTCTTCCAGATTATATCCTCTATAGGATCTCTACATCTCTTCTCTTTCATTGCTTTGCTTGGTGAACGCAGAAATTAAAGCCATCAACTTGGAAAATATTTCCTTATTTGGAGTTTCAGTATTAAATATGGAAAAAAAAAAAAAAAAAATTCCAGTAATTCCAAACTGGAATAAACAGCTCATCAAGCCAGTTATCTATCAATTAATAAATTAAAGATTATAACATTTCTCCTCAGCTGCTTCAACAATAGAATTATTTAGTTCTAGTTAGAAATAAATGTCACTCCTTAAAGTATCTCATCATCAAAAATGTTGAAGCACCTTTCATTAGAGGGTCTCGAAACACTTTGCAAGACATTACCAATGCCATTTCTACAGAAATGGGGTTCTTTTCAGGCCACAGCAGCACTGGAAGCAGATGCTCAGTCCCCCACAGCCATTATTTTACTGATTGTTTTCTTACTCACAAGGAAGTGGAAGCTGGTGGGAGACATGAGTCATGTGAAATGAGAGCACAGCACCATGCAGCAGCAAGGGAGCAGACACCTCCATCCAAATTCAGAAAGGTACAGAATTTTCTAAACTAAAATATAACCTTAATCCTATAACAGCACGCTTCCACAAATGTTGCTTGAAACCTATAGACTGTCAAGCCATAAAATACAATTACTCAGTGCTTATAATCACCACGTAGCCTGTTGTGGTTTGGCAGGCTCTCCTCCTCCAGTGTCAAATATAAAACATGATGGTGGCCTACAGAACTTTAGGGAAACATAATGCCTGACAGCAGAGCAAGACTGCATGGAAAAGCATTGTATCACCTCCAACAAAATAAACAAGCCAGAACTCTCACAAGATTAATACTAGCAATCATCACCACCAGAATAAATAGAGGGTTTCATTTTACTAGTTTTAAAATACTTACTCCACTTGGTGAATTATGGCTGTTTTTTCTAAAGTGGCTCCTAATCTGATTGCTCAGAGATTTATGTACAGTCACAAAGTTGGGAAATTATTATTGGGAATGTCTATTCAGATGAGAACTTTCTGAAAATTGAGATAGGGACTAAAATCAGATTTTATACTTCTCATTTAACAATCTATTATTAATAAGCTTTTTAATTGATGTCAGTAGAAATAATAACTTCATTTTCACAGCGCCAGACAAAATTCATTCCACTGCTTAACCATATTTGTCCTCCCCATGATGACTTAGCAGAAGCATATTGATGCTAATCAATAATCATTTAAAAAGACCCCCTCCTTAAAACATAACCCACTTTTATCCCAGTGTTTACATCAGCACCAGCAGGTAGCACTGACCATACCTGTCCATGATAAACTGATGAAATCCAGCTGAAATGAAAATAAGCAGTGACCCGCCTGGTAATGACCACATCACTACTGCACCACTAATAACACGTGTGGAAAGGAAAGATGTGTCCAAAACTGGACTACACCTAGGAATCTGCTACCCTACCTTGTACCCCACATCCTCCACAGCAGCAGCTCAGGAGAATTCTCCTACATTCCCAGGTGGGCTCAAACTGCCAAAGGCTGCTTTTCCCCATGATGGGCAGGTATAAACTGTGCTTTACAGGTTACAAATTCTAATCCAACTTCTGGTGACCCCACCAGCATCACAAAGGATGAGAGGTGGCCCTGGAGAAACTCAGAATCAAACCAGAACAGATGCCAACAGGAAAATTGTTTTCATTCCACTGTGCCTCTGTTTAAAAAGCTCAGATCATGACGATACACGATACAATAACCTACCTTGACTGCAAGGATGTATTTGCATCAGCACAGACAATTGCAACACCTCACAAAGGAAGGAATTTATACACAGGGCATCGAACTGTTTGTGCTTTCTCCTGAACCAAGGGTATCACAATCACAGTAGGAAATGTCGTATCAGACATGCCTAGCAGCTTTCTGACTGGGTGCAGCCTGTGTATAACAAGGAGAAACAAACACATACCAAAAAAACCCAGAAGAAAAAAGACAGCTCACCATAGTTAGAAAATGATGTCTCAGCCCTTAACATACCCATGCAGGAATGCAGATCATGTAGTATACTTCAAATAACATACCTGTAAGTGTTCTCATTACATACTTAGAAATGAAATCTTTTTATACAGAATTTCCACTAAAACCTTACCATCATTGTGGTCTGGCAGCAAGTTCTACAGATGAATTATGGACTGTGAATAAAAATATTTTAATAAGTCATTTTAAAATCAATTCCTTTTCCCCTGAATCAAATGCTCCTAAACATTTTCCTCAGCAAACTCCAAACCATTTTTCTTTCAACTAATCCTCCTTGGTAATAGGTAATTAGAATTGACCACAAACTCAAGAATAAAAGGCAAAATATTTACACAAAGGCATTATTAATGTACTCTTAACAAGCCTTTTGAACTGTGTCCAGAAGGACACAACATACTCTTTTTTCACGGATGACACTTTGATAAATATTAACAGCAGATATCTATGGTTAAAATTATTCCTACCATTGCCAACAGGCAATACTTCACATTTGTGAATTGATTCTGCTTGGTAAACTCGTGCTCGTTCACATAGCTTTGCTGAGTTCTGGAAGGTCCTGCTTGCATTCCTAGATCTGACTGACCCAAACAATTTATATTACCTGCACATTTTGCCATTTTCCCTTTCCCAGAGACTTCATCTTGCAGCACATGAATCTAACCTGAATACCTGAGGGCTCCCTGCTGTTAACCTTTTGCCATGTGGAAAATTGACACCTCATTCCTTCTCTTGTTTTCTGTCTCCAGACAGTTTCTACTACAGAAGAGCAGCTCCCCTTTCACTTCAGCAACGTTTAGCTTCTCAAATAGCCTCTTATGATGAACGCTAGCAAAGGCTGTCTGAGTCAAATAAATTTTGTCAATGTGCTCTTCTTTACCCTGGCAGACAGCACTGATTAGCTGCTGTGGTAGAGCTGCCCTAGAAAGAGAATATTCTCTGGGCTGGTGCTACTTGAAAGCACCTAAGACAGCAGTAGTTCCATCCCCCATTTACCACAGCCCCTCAAAATGATGTTTAGGAGACTGATAAACTGCAGCTTGGTGCAGTCAGTCAGGTATCTGCTGTACCACCCCCCAGGAAACACACTTGCACTGGACTTCCCAGCAGCGGTTCAGAATTTCTCTCTATGCCAAGTTCAGGCAGTGCCTGTAACGTTATCCTTAATTTTTCTGTTTTCTGATTTAACTATGCTTCATGTTAGTTTATAACAGGACATGCTTCTACTAGCCTAGACATACTACAGAGCACTGAGGCTCTGCAGGGTGTACAGATCCAGCTGTTCTCTTCAGCTTCACACACTGGATTAAACTTGTGGGGTTTATCACAGAGCTGTCGTTCCACAGGCACAACGCAGTCAGCAGTTCTTTCACCTGCCCCTCAGAAAGCAGTGAGATTAACATGAAATTTGAGATTTATCATGCTAAAAACTATCATTCAGTAATGGGTGTAGAATTAATTTTAATTAGGGTCTTATTGTTGTACAATGCAAAAGTGTGTAAATTGCAGAAATTAAGATCTGTTTGTGGCTGGCAAATGGAAGTGCGTGTAATACTAGACACAAACAGCATGCAGGTTTACAAGAATAGCAAATGTTCAGAAAAAGGCAGAGTTACTTCAAGTAATTTTTGTTATTCCAACAATCCATGCATGACTGCCTCCCGAATATACTGAAAAGAGAAGAAATATAACATGCAAAATATCTGGTTGTAAAACACACATGAAATATGTCACATTTTTTGTATAGCTGATTAAAACACCATCTTATGAAAAAAACTAATATTGTCTTATCTGAGCTATTTTTCCCTAAAAAGAAAAATGGCCTCTTTATCCCACAAATAAATACACCACAGATGAACATACACTAAGTAAACATATTCTCAGACACCCTACACATATATACCCAGAAGCCACTGCTTATTAACCACAAGAATTAAATACCATTAAATGGTATCCCCAGATGCCTTCCTGGCACGACAGTCCAAACAGAACTTGTTTGGAATGCTGCTCCACAAAAAGACACTGGCCTGCGTGCTCAGTAGCTGGGCACCAAACCCTGGGCTGGGCACTGTCCCTGCTATTCCACAAGTGTGGTGCTGGCATCAGGGCTGAGGGGCAGAAGGACAGGCAGCCACCCTGACCTTCATGGGAACAAACTCCTCCCTAAATTAGGAAAGTTCTACTGTCATCCACTCATACAAATCCACAAATGAGACACATTATCATCCTAGTGGCATTAATAGTCTTGCTTCATTCCATCAAGCTGAACAAAGTGATGGATGTTTTTGAAGTAAAATTTAGATGACTACTTCATTAGGGTTTTTTTTTTAAAGATTCAGGTTTCCACTGGCAATTTCCCTTTAGGTGGCTAAAACAGGGATTTAGAAGTTTACCTCTGGTTTGAACATTGTCCATATACATTTTCCCTTCACAGTTCTATGCAGTGTTCATTCTTAATGTACTTCATTATCTGTAGATGTATATTTACAAAATATACCAGCATACCAAGCCATTATTACATACCTGTTGAGAGAAGCTTCAGAAAATTGCCTGATGTGCAAAGGCAGAAGTACAGCAATTTTCACAGTAATAAAATGCAGGCCTTTATTTACAAAGAAATAGAGCAATATTTATCTTGCAGGTGCTATCAGAGCAGGGTTTATTTTTACTTTCTGTAATAAACTTAAGCAAACAAAATTTAAATGAAAAACCATTTGGAACTAGGTTACAGAAATTTTAACGTAATATGGAATATTGTGAGTTCATTGCCTGCTATTATCAGATCAGGATTAGGTGTATTTGTGCTAAGGCTGTAGCCCTGTGGAAGGTTTAATATTCTTTCATTTCTGTAATGAATCAGCTGCTCTCTTCTTGCACATAAAATGTTACATACTTGTATATCAGCATCTGGTGGAGAGAGAAAGGAGGGGATGTGATTGACATAGGAGTCCAAAATCTGCTGTTGCTCAAATCCCATTTTATTATACAGCTTTAGGCATCCACTGCAAAAGCAAGACTGAAGATTTGCTTGCATTATTCTCTCCATGATACATTATTGACAGTAACAGCTACCATTATTTTGGGAAGTGATTTGGACAAGCTTCCAGAGCAAAGCAGCATGGAAAAACATTTTACCCTAATTGTTTAGGGCTTATCCTTCACTAGCCAGTGAGGCATTCTCTTTCCTCACGAAAAATACTGCAGTTCCCATTTGTCCTTGTATCACTTGCCTTGTATTTCTAAAGTGAAACCGGAATAGTACCAAAAACGTATCAAATGCTGTCAACAAACAGCATTTCCCACAAGGTTCAGGGCCAGTCTTTATGAGGTTCAGGGCAAGTCTTCAGCCTCTGTGTCTGCAGCTAAGCTCAAAATCCATCACAAAAAAATATTAACTAATACTGATTCAAGAACAGATTTAAGCTGCTGAGTGAAACAAAATTCGAGTCACCCACTCCCATAACATAAACCCCTAATAAAGCACAGACACTCACCAGTCTGACTGCAAAATTCATCTGAATATTAACACCTGCAAAACCAGCTGAGAACCCCCAGAGAAAGAGACACATGTGGGGAGACTTTATGTCTCCTTTTCCTTGTCTGTCTACAGGCCCATAGGTAGAAAACACACTGGCCAAAGTCAAAGGTGAAGCTGTGCTTTCCAAAAGATGCAGAAGACAAAAAAACCCTATCCAAATATCCATGTGTTTCTATACAAATGCTGAGAAGGTTAAAAAAGAGATGGGTAGACTACAACACCTACCTGTAAGTATGTTTTGAATAATATCAAACACTTGGAGGAAAGAGATAATTATTGGTACTTTAGTATCCAGATAAAGGATATAAAAAATGCAAAAACTCATGTCAGTACAGGAATCATGTCAATAAATCATACCACAAATATCTTAGAATCATATCAGAGCTTGATGAAATGTACCAACAAGAAAAATAGAATCTCTATGAAACTCCAAGTCTATGTCCAAATACAGGAAAAATACATTATTAAGGACAATCTAATCTTTTTCATTTGAGAAGAGCAACCCTGTTGTGCCCAGAGAAACTAGAATGATTGCTAGCACAGGAAAACAGCAGTAATGGTAGGGTTTTGCTATTTCAGACATGCTGTGTGACAAATATGATCTGTAGATTGACCTCAGGGAGTGTCAAATAGGGGATCCACTACAAAAAGCCACCTTGTGACACAGTCACAGCAGTGTCAAGGTCCTCATCAAGAATATGACTACCAAAAGGCAGTCTGTAAGAGAGACCCTGATACAGTAACATTCAATATCTCTAAAGTAGACAAAAGTTTTTAAAAAATCCACTTGATTTTAAGAAGGTGCTATAACTAAAAGTGAAAGCTTTTTAAAAGAAACAAAATTTCAAATGTTAGGTATTGGAAAGTATGGGAAGGCTATGTAAGCACAGCATAGGAGGTGAGCATGTACCACTCACCTCAAAGCACCTTGCTGAAAGGCTGACAGCAAACCAGCATTGTGCTGGAAAGGCAGGTTAGGAGAGGGTATTACCAACAACAGCCTCAAAAGAGATCATGGCATATGCATGTAACAGAAATGAATATAAGCCATGGCAAGCTAGCTGTAAAAAACACAGTATGACAGGCCACAAAAGGCTTTAAGTAGACAGAATTGCAGCACTGCAATAATCTTTAACACACCTTCACCATTACGTCAGGAGCAGGATGGCTGCCAAAGTCTGTGGGATCAAGCTGGACTACCACAGAAAACACAGTGACTGTACAAAAACCAGATGGATCTTTTGCACATTTAGTACAGAAAATCACTGGGAGGTTTCCATAGATGAAAGAGTGATGCAGCTGAAAATGTGACCAAAAATGAACTGACATTTTATTGCACAACAAATTGAAACAGTACACTGTAAGAACTCACTAGGGCCAGCCAGAATTCACCCAGCAATTCAAAAGCAATTCACAGATAAAATAATAACCTAATCACTATAATATACATTCTAACACTTTGGAACCTCACCAGCATCAAAAGAACACAAGACAGCACAAATGACAGCATCTTATTAAGAAGCTTTGACCACAAGGACCAGTGCAGATAACATCCATCCAATGTACACTGTAGGCAGGGACAATAATAAAGGACCAAAGTAATAGGCAAATGGACAAGTAGTGTGTCAATTATACTGGGAAAAGGGTTAGGAAGAGTTTTTAAAAGAAATTTCATACCTCACAAAGCTATTGAAACTTTATGTAGGACTCAATTAACAGCTGGGAGAGCTTTACAACTAGTTCTTAATTAAAATATCTAGAAACCTATTAAAATTGTATCTGTGGAGAGACTGACATGTAAAATCAAAATTGGCACACACAGAGAATAAAATTAAGCCTTCTGGACTCTCAATCCCACTTGTCTCATCTGGGATTTTCAGAGGTTAACAGAACTGGGCACCAGTGGGTAACTCTTTAAATACTGGAATTGAACATTTTCTGATATGGTTCTGTGACAAAGTGAGCTCCAGCCATTCCACTAACAACTTCCTCCAAGTCACTTTGTTATTTCAAGGTAAAATTGATTCCTGGAGTGGTGTCACTTTTCTGCTTGAACATTGTAATTATACAAATCCAAATTTAATAATCCAAGCTATTCAAATTTAAAATAGACACATTGTTTCTCTTTTGCAATGGCCGTTTCCCTACTTTCAAAACCCCTCCAGCCTCAATTTACCCCAGTCCCAGGTGTTCCACAGCTAACACCATGACAGACACTTTACACAAATACACTTTTAAAGTCTACAGCATGAAATAAAGTCTCCAGGCAGGGAAGGCCTGTGACCTCTCCCTTTTCCCAAGGAAAGGGAAGGTGTATAAGAGTTGCAGCCCAAGGAAGGCTGAAGCAGGAGCTCACCAAAGGAGGATGGAGATGGGTGGGGACCCCACGTTCCAAAGCCCCTGGAAGCTCTGCTTCTATTTCTCATTGCCTCTCTCCTCCACAGCCAAGCTGCCTGTGCCCCTTTCAGGAGGCAGCTCTTTTCCTTCTCCCCTTCACATGTCCCCACCAGCCCACACAAGGTTCAGGACCCCAGAGCAAGCTTCTGGGTCTGTACAGAGGCCCTGGGAGCTTTGAAAGCAGAAGTGAAGGGAAAAATAAAGTTAAGAGTGTGAGCAGAGAGCACAGAGTAAGTGGAGAAGTAGGACAACAAAGAGGGAAATCCAAGCACTTCTGGAGACATAAGGGAGTTAGAAGAACCAGATGACTGCAGCTGTGCAGGTGAACACAGCAGTGTGAGTACTGCACTAGAACACAGGCATGGCGCCGTTCTCTGCTTCTGCCTTGCAGCAGTTTCTCTTTTGGAAGGGCACTGTGTCCATCAAGATGAAGCACAAAAGCCTTAGAGACTCACTAAACAAAAGTGCATGGTGTGTCCTGCATACACTTCAAAGGAAAAAGAAATTATAAATGGATCTTTAAATCTGTGCTAAAAACCAGGAGTGTAGGAAACAAGTCATACATCCACTCTTTCCAAAACCAACCCTCACAGCCACCATCTCCACCTCAATCACTATTTCCTTAAACAGACCCTTAGGGGAAATGAAACAAACTGATTTAGGCTAGTTTTACAGCTGCCTCCTCAATGCCTACCAGCTGAACTGTGTGCTCAGCCTCGGAGAAGGCCTCATGTGCTGGGTA